ATCGCTTTATGATGATAAAGGAGATATTGCTAGCGCAAGACGGCCTTGGGAGATTGTACCTATTGGTCACAAGATCGGGAAACCAGAGCCGTTGTTCAAGGAATTGGTATGTCTCTGCTTTCTCTGTCTTTTACCGTTATTTGTTTCTTGTTACTCTTGTTATTATTTGCAGAATAGATGTATTGACACTGATGAGTGATGAGTGGGAAGAAACAACCTGATCGTATAGGATTTAAAGTGATGGAACACTCGTAATTTCCAATTATTCTGCATGAAGGGAATATGAATCGCCAAAGTGGCCACAGTATGTCATGGCATAGTGTTTACGAGAGAGGAACCCTAAACAAGAAATAGAAGAAACACTGGCTGAGAATTGCAGCAAAATAGTGGAGAAAAGTCCTGATGTTATCAGCAAACGAAAGGTTATCGAGAGAAAATATAAGAGAAGGGCATGGGGTAGGGGGAACTTCAAGTAGCTCTTGAACAAACAGCACCTCAATTATTCAATATCACCAGGATTGTATGGTGCATTTGCTTTACAAGAACTTCACAAGGAAATATTGCCTTGTAATACTTGATGATGAAGCAAATCCTATAATGTAATTCAAGTTGCCTAGAAAACTGGATCAACGGAAGCAACCAACCATCACTGATGCTGCAGCTAGAAGCCAAAACCAAAAAAAAAAAAAAATATTCTGTCATAGCGACTCAGTGGTGAATAGTAATTCCTATACAACTTACATCTGACTGAGTTCAACTTATCTATTGCATAGGTGGAAGATCCTAAAGCACTAAAATAGTAGTCTTGTCTATATACTTTGTTTATTAGCATCTCTAAGTGAGTGGCTAGAAAATTAACCTAATCTCTGGGATAAGTTTGTAGGCTGCACTTAAAATTTGTTTTTGGTTTTCAATGCTGGACTCTCTAGTTTGCCATGATGTCATTGCTGCATCACTTTCCTGTTTGTAGATTCTCATTTAGTGAAAGTTTACACGTGCATACAGAAAGATGAAGAAGTGGAATCCTTGAGGAAGAAGTTTGCTGGAAGTCAAGCGGATAGGAAGGAGAGGGAAGAAGCTGAAGCAGTAAAGGTGGCTGCACAACTCAAGAAAATGAAAGTTTCAGGTTAGAATGTACTTATATCTAGTTAGTTTGGCCCATAAGCTCGCAGCATTAGCAAAGTTAACTAATAAGTAATACTTCCCATACTTCTTCATTTTTACATAAACACAGCTTCTCCTGGTAACCAAAAAAATACATAGGTTCTCCTAAAATGTGGGTTTACCTCATAAGCTAAGCTCATGTTTTGTGGGCACTTATACTTGAAAAGAATCCTATACCATTTATTAGTTGTTAGTGTTACTACATAAGTATATCTATTCTAATAAGCCATTTTTGTAACAGACAACAGTGGAAAGAAAAAGCAACAGGCCACAAAATCTGCAGCTGAAGCAGAGATTTCCATTTCTAGACTTGATATTCGTGTTGGCCTCATTACTAAAGCTCAGAAGCATCCTGATGCTGATTCGCTTTATGTAGAAGAGATTGATGTTGGTGAAGAACAGACTAGAACAGTCGTGAGTGGCCTTGTCAAGTATATACCTATTGAAGAAATGCAGGTTTGTGTTTGCGTCTACAGATTTTTTTAATAATAAAATTCGAATTATTTCTAGTACTTTTTGGGACCACCTTCTAATCCATTAGTTTTTTCATATTAATTATTCTGTGGCAGAACCGGAAGGTCTGTGTTCTTTGCAATCTGAAGCCAGCAACCATGCGGGGTATTAAATCACAAGCAATGGTTCTTGCTGCTTCGAACAGTGACCACACCACGGTAAGCAGCCCCATGTACCTTTAATTAGTGTTTGCATCTTGTGTGTTCTTGCTAATCAGACCCTTTGAGTGAAACAAAGTCTACTATTATGAATTTGATGATAACTAATTTTAACTTGTGGTCTCTAACATTGTTTATTAAGAATATTTTGAGGATATTAGGGTTTAGGTGAGGATATCAGGAATTTAGGATATTGTGAGGATATTTTTGCCACAGCTTTATGTAAAATTGCTGCTGTAAAAAGAGTTAATTTCTGCTTCGTTTCGTGCAATAAACGTTTCTCTTTTCAAAAATTATCAATGTTGGCCTATTCTGCATAAGATCATGTGATAATATTGTGATAATATGTTTTTGCGTAAGTCCTGTAGTGGTTTTGACAGTTGGAAAAAAATTTAGCAATATCAAACTTGAGTCGCAATTATTGCTGTTTGTTTGTGATTTGTCACAGTTAGGAAGAATTATGCCTTTGTAATTCATGTTTCTTGAAATCTTAGCTTTTGGGGACGCTATTGCAAACACTTTCATTCTCAGAACCTTTCTCAAGCATGTACTAAGTTTATCTGTGTGCAATGGTTCAGCTAGTCATGAATAAACATGGACAATTAGACACTAATGTAATTACTGATAAGAGATCTTCAATGTTGGGTGCACTCTCAGGTTGAATTGGTTTATCCGCCAAAAGCTGCTCAAGTTGGCGAGAGAGTTACATTTCCAGGGTTTGTGGGTGAGCCTGATGAGGTGTTGAACCCCAAGAAGAAGGTGTGGGAGACCTTGCAAGTAGATCTGCACACTAACACTGACCTAGTGGCCTGCTATAGAGATATTCCGCTAACAACATCAGCTGGTGTTTGCACTGTATCCTCTATTCGTGGCGGGTCAATTAGATAGATTAGAAGATAATTAATTATTTCTAGAGGTTGAATAGGAAAAGAAAAGAACAATAAATTTTAGATTTTTTGCTCATGGCTCTCATTGTTTGTGGATTAAGAGTACTTTTCTTCATCCTTTTTTGGCTGTAAAATGGTTATTTGAAAAACCTGCCAAAGAATTTTTGCTCATGGATAGAAACTACTTTTGATCCTCTCATCTCTTGGGTAAAAAAGGAAACGTATTAAAAAAAAAATTAGGATTTGAAATAAATGTGCAAGGTTAATCGTTTTATTAATCCCTAAATTTAGACATGATTTGCATTTGAGTACCTCAATTTCCAAAATGATTCCCGTGGTCCTTTAACTTTAGTTTCGTTGGACAAATGGTCATGCTGTCAATTTTGTTAACTTTTCTATTAAATGCAGGAGCAAAATGGTATTTTTGTATCAAAATTAATTAAAATATGAATAAAAAATTTTAAAAAAAAAACCTTAAAAATTAAAATTAAACTCTCTCCCCTCTATCCCGATTTCTACTCCCCAAAAACTTTATTTATTTTTTTTTTGGTTTTGTTTTATATTTGATTTTATTGTTATTTTAAAGATATGATTTTTTATTCATTTTTTTTGTTTTAATATAAAAATACCATTTTACCCTTGTATTTAACAAATAAAGTTAACAAAATTGACAACAGGACCATTTGTCCAAACGAAAGTAAAGTTAAAGGACCACGGGAACTATTTTGGAAATTGAGGTACTTAAATGCAAATCGAGTCAAAGTTCAGAGACTAATAAAACGATTAACCCTAAATTTAAATATATTGTGAACTGCAAGTGCTTACACAATTCAGAGCAGGTTTAAAACAATTTAAGGTTGGAGGAGGAAGTTTACCTTTAAACATTTTGATATTTCGTGTTCATTTTTTCTTGAAATATTGGGTATTGTTTTTACTTTTATTTTTCAATTTAAGTAAAAGAGGGATTAGAGAAGGAAAGAAGAAATGAGAAGCAACTTTAGAGCAAACCAGTACATAAGATCATTTACATGGCGTTCAAGGGCTAAGGCTTCAAACCTCATCAGCAGGTAAATTGGCTCAATGTTAAAGATGCGCCCTCATTCAATTTGCATTTGCTTAATATCCATTCTGAAATCTGAACTCGAAATGGTGTTCCAAGTTCCAACTGAGTTCATTGCACTTTTCGATTTGCATTCGCACCTAAATCCTGCCGATGCTAAGTTCCTAGAATCAACAGTCTCTAAACTTTGACTTAATCAAAGTTTCACTAAATTTAGGAGAATTCCATGGAAGGTAAGAACATCTCCACCCACAAGGGCTAAGTTTAGGGCAAGGGCAAACAAAGGATGCCACCATTCACGTGAATAGTGTCAATCTTGCCATTTGTGGTTGCACCCATAAGAGCTAAGTCTAGGGCAAGTCTAAAGCAATTACTATTCACTTAAATTTATTTTTTATTTTTTATACTTAAAACATTGATTTTGATTAGCTTTTTGGATAAGATTTTCAATTCCGAAGTGTTAATATTTAGGGAGTTTTACTAAAACACCCAAAATAGGGGTTGAAATTATAAAAAAACTCAAGCACTATTTAAACATATAAACACACCCAAAACCCATCATTATACACACTCAAAACCCATTTATAAACACACCCAAAAAGTTGACTTTGGGGTTGATTTTGGGTGTGTTTCTATGTTTAAATAGTGCTTGAATTTTTTTATAAATACATGTCTAGGATTGGGTTTATTTATAAATTTGTATAATATTATCGTAAAATCTTCACCTAAAAATCAAGATAACATTTTCGGATAAAATTTTGAAAATTTCCAGAATTTTTTGATAATTTTTTTATATTTTTTTCAATTTATTTTAGCCAAAAAATTGGACAACCGTTGAATTGTGTAAGATTTTTTGATCAGATGCTTCAGGAGAAGCCACATGGCTTGTAACCATTGGGCAATGTGGGCTGGTAGGTCCAAAAGTGAAAAAAAATTTGAAAATCAGCTGCTGACATCAGCAGCCCAAGGGCAATAGCCCAGTCAATTTCTGCCTGTGGACTTGCCCGGGCTGGTGGGTCCCATGCCTTGCCCGGGCTGGATTTCCTGCGCTGGAGGTCTCTTGGACTCGCCGGGGGGCCTTTCTCCCAGTTTGGGTCTAGCGCTGGAGACGCTCTAAGGCAAGGCAAAATAACTGCGTTACCATATTTGCTAGCAAATTTGTCAATGACATCACCATGGCAGTTGCCCTCCAAAATTTTAAACATACGGCACTGGGTGCAAAATATACCATGCCCTGATTAGAAAGTATACAGATCTTATTAAAATACGAAGAAGGAAAAGGAATGTGGTTGGGAAATTAGTGGATGATGAAAAGAAAATAGAAAACATAAAGACTGGGTACAAAACATACTAAGTCCTGATTATCTTGTCTATACGGTGAAACTGTAAGATATCACCACTAGACAATTTGGAAATAAAATGGACTCAAAGGGGTGTAGTATCAACGATGGCTTCTAAAATCTTCTTTTCCAGTTCTGGTTCATTGATCCACAAGGAACTCTGACGTCGCAACAGTTCATTCTTCTCTTTTTTCTTCTCTTCTCTCATTTTTTCCTTCATCTTCCAATTCTCAAGCTTCTCTGCTCTTTCTTTTAACTGTGCATTTAGACAAATCAAAACATGTAAGACATGCAAGTGAAAGAAACACATAAGCTGTATGAAAAGAAAAATTATTAATTAAAAACAAAAAATCTCTCTTTCCTGGACATAGATGAATTGAATTCAAGTATATAATTGTCACATATGAGAATGAGCATCAACTCAATTCTTATCATAGTTTACATTAGATATTCAAATATTTGCATACTTAAAGTAAGCACAAATCCCCGATGTCAGTACAAAAACCAGGTGAAAGGAACTTGCATCCACAACTGATACACTTTCTATTTTAAGATAGACAGTGAGATCTTGACTACAAGAGGAGAGAATGAGTTAGAAAAGCTTGAACCCCAAGTGCACTCTAAAAGGAGCACTTTAATCCTAGAACTCGCCTAAGAACTTAAAAAATATGACACCTTGTACCCCAAAAAAAAAAACCCCACAACACTATGGATGTATTTTCTTTAGATGATCAATGGAACCTCTGGCAATTGATATTGTTCATTAAAAGTTTGTTAATCCTCATTATTCATGTTAGCACAGTATAATGTAGACACCACTAACAACTATATTGCTCTAGTTCATGAAGTCAATGATTATGAACATTTACTTAAGTTTCAGTTGGTACAGGAATGGTAGCTAACACGGACAACATTCTAAAAAGATTCCAAACCAGAATTTCAATCATGGTTAAACAAGAAGAATGCATGTAAGGGCAAAGGAGATTGGGGTACCCTACCCCTTAGGATTGCAACACTGAGGAGATCCAGATGAGTGATCTAAGATCACTACTATCTATCAGCTCCGCATGCATTAAGCCTTATTATGTCAAGTTTGTGAACGCAACTACGGTAAGGTTTGAATTTTTATTTGGTTTTACTGAGGGAATATTTTTAATTGAAACAAATTATGGTACCGTGAGTGAATAAGTTGTCCGCTAACAGCAAAACAACAAAAACAATCACCAATTGATAACTATCATACAGTATACGTGTGTTGCATCAATACACCGAAAACTGAAATTTAAAGAACAGCCCTCCATTCCGCAAAAGGAATAAAATGGTACGTCCCAAAACTCTAAAGAATTCGATGTCCAGAATCCGACTTTACCCCACCCACAATACCTCCTTCTCACTATAATCTCCAAAAATCCTTTTATATTTTTCCATCCACAGCAACAAAAACACAGCCAGCACACTACAATTCCATAAAATTTCTGCCTTCTCCCCCCCACCAAAATGCATTGTGCTTCTCCCAAAATAGGCGAAATGCAAGATACTGAAATTATCCAACTCACTTTGGCTTCCCTTAAACCATTTCAATAACAAAGACGCTAACACATGAGTCCGTGCTAAGTCCTAATTACTCGTCCTTGGTTAAAGAAAATATGTGTTTTCGATTTGCATTACCACTTTTTAGATCGGAATTCAATAAACCAAAATTTTTTCTGACTCAAACCTCTCTTCTGAGTTTTCTTCTCTTTGATCTTCCCAATTATTTGTCAGATACCACAAATCTAAACCAAAAAGATCTCATAACTCAACTTTTCTCCTTCCCCCACATTTCTACAATCACAAAACAGAGAATCAAAACGAAAAAGAAGGCTAAATTTGAAGGAAACCTGAGGCCACATAATAAAGTTTCAAACCAATGTCAAACTAGGAAAAAGAAAAACTCATGTTCCCTTTCCCATATATTCTTAGTAACAAACAGGAAACACTTAAAAATTCACCAACTCAATTCTCTGATTTCCACAGCTACCGAACCAAATAACCCTAAACAGAAAAACCCACAATCTAGGTTTCTAATCAATTCCAGACCCAACAAACTTCCCCTTCCATTTCCCACACTTTCCCATCAACCAAACACCGCAACAAAAATCAAAACCACATAAAGAGAGAGGGAGAGAGAAAGAACCCAATGCACATACCAGGGTCTGGCGGAACTCCTGCTCAGCAACCTCACGCTGTTGGGCACGGACCTTAGCAGCCTCAGCCTTGAGTCTCTTACGTTCCTCATTTTGGAGCCTAAGGGCTTCTTTACGAGCCTCGTCCATGCGAAGCTTCTCGAGCCTCATGAGCTCGACCTCCTGGATGTACTCCTTGCGGACCTCCTTGACCTGCTTGGCGTAGTCTCTGCGGAGCTGCGCAAGCTTGGCCTCGGCCTCCTTGGGGTCCTTGGGGGCCTCCCAGCACCCAATGAAGGAATTGGGATCTGTGTACTGGTGATTCTGCTGGTGGCTGTTGTGGTGCGACGGCTTCGTACTTGTGGAGAAGGACCGCAGGCGCAGTGTACGGTACAGTGAGCGAGACGTGGTCGCCATTGGAGAGTGTTGTCTCTGTGCCAGAGAGAGGGTTTAAGAGTGGAAAATTTCGGAGTTAAAAAGGAAGGGAGGTTTTTGGGTTGGGTTGGGTTGGAGCTTGACCAAAAACCTCGAGGCCCAATGCAATTTTGTTGGAAAATTTACTCACTGCACTCCCCTTCAACTAGCCAAAGTCAGGTATAAAACTCATCACAACTACCATTAAATTGAGGGCTAGTTGATAAACTTATGGAGATTTAGTTTATACAAATTTATAAATAAGCCCAATCTTAGACATGTATTTATAAAAAAACCCAAACACTATTTAAACATAGAAACACACCCAAAATCAACAATTGTATATTTTTTGGGTGTGTTTATAAATGGGTTTTGAGTGTGTGTAATGATAGGTTTTGGGTGTGTTTATAAAGTGTTTTGGGTGTTGGGTTTTTTTATAATTTCAGCTCCCATTTTGGGTGTTTTAGTGAAACTCCCTTTAGTTTACTCTAATAAAGCTTAATGACCCTAAATCTTCATTTATTCCATGGAACCAAGAAATATTTGACACATGTAAGAGATTTGTTTAATTGCTTATGAAGGACAACATTTAAGCCAACTTGGTCACCAAATGGAATACTTTATTTTGATTATACTACTAGTTTGAGGTCTAAATTGTTTGGAGTGCAATTTGAGGCCGAGGCCGAAACTATGCCCCTACACCAACATAATAATTATGTTCACAAGTCGGGCTCTTTTTGTTCGAGGGTCACAAGTTGGACTTGTACATAATTTGAATAGTAAAGACATGTTAATAAGCTTTGTTTAACCTTCTAGCAAAAGGGAAGCAAAACCCCGAAGGAAGGCAATTTTTTACCAGTTCACGTAGAACCCCGTTTTAAGAGCATTTGTATTGGTGAGGGTCATTTCAATTTTATTTCAATAAATTGAACTTTTGACTTACAGTGTAATGTTCATTTCATTTCATAGATCAATATTTCATTTCGAGGATCAATAGTTCATTTCATAGGTCAATAAAATGAACTCTAAAATGAAATTCATTTCAATAAGTTGGCCTACCCATAATAACTGTACAATCTCTCTCTTAATTTTTTTGGGGTAAATACCACGAGTTGTTCCCACACTCGAAGGACGGGATTAATCCCCACTCGGGGTTCGGCTTGCTCCCTGGCCACAAAATGCTTCCAACAGATTTCGAACCCTGCCATTGAGGTACTAAGTAGCTCGCTAGCTGGATGTGGCAGTTTGCTAACCGCACCACACCTTGTGGTTTAATCTCTCTCTTATTGACACATGGACAACATTACTGTTTACTTTTTAATTTTTCCATTACATTTAATTAGTATAAACTAGGCTTTACTTCTTTTTTTTTCAAAGCAACTAGCCATTTCTGGTTTATTTCACTATTAAAAAAACATATAGATAATATATACTACCCATTACTGATTTGTTTCGCTTGAAAAAAAGGATAGCTAATTTTTCATTTTGAGAAAGGATAGAATTACATATACTACCCATTGCTATTTATTTCACTTTTCAAAAACACAAATGGCTAGTTCCCTTTTCAAACGGCTAGTTATTTACCTATAAATACATATGTAGAAAACAACTCTCCCACAAAGTTCCTACACCCACAAAAAAAAGGTTTATGTTGAAATTTTATTTTTCAATAGAAAACTTTGTTATTAATTATATATATTCAAAATTGGTCTATTTTTAAAGATCTCTTTGAAACCATTTTAATTGTATAATAATAATTGTAATTAAATTCATTCATTTTATTTTATGCAATCATTTAAAAAATATAAATTTTAATTTGTAAGCTATTGAATTGCATCGCTGCAAATGAAATTATAGTCTAGTTTAATAGTTGCAAAAAAAATTTCAATAAATTGAACTATTAAACTGAACTAAAATGAATTGTTGAGTAACCATTGTGGATGCTCTAAGAGGCAAATATGGAAGGAATGTGTTTTCCCTAATCCACCATATCCCCATCTTCGCTAGAAATCCCCCTCTACACTTGAAAAGACAAATTTATTTTTACTTACTTCATAATTTTAAATCGTAATTTGTATTTATATTTTGGTTTTAATGGTGTAATTGTGTGATTATTTGTATATAAAATAATCTATGGTCTTTTTTTGTCATGTGCCATGTAACGAATTTTTATATTTGCCAAAAGTCACTTCTGGTCTTTGTAGTTTGATACTTCAATTACTTTTGACCCTATAGCTTTAATTACGACAATTTTTCCATTTTAGTTTTTTATTCGTAGCAATTCACGGACAAGTTAGTGTTCTTGTTAAGGGATATTTGTTGAAATGTTACCTGAACTTATACCTTAGTTTTAATTTGTCACTTGAAATGATTTGTCACTTGAGTTTACTATCATCCAATTTTCCACCTATTTTCAAGGGTATTTTAGTCTGTTCATTTTCAAGGATATTTAAAAAATGTAAAAAACTATTATTAAAAAAATAAGCTTAAATGTAAAAATGGTTGGGGGTTAAATGTGAAAAGATATATAATTTTTATAATTTTCAAGGGTCTTTTCATAATTTTTTTTATAATGATTTTTCCATTTTTAAAAATACTCTTGAAAATAAAAAGACTAAAATACCCTTGAAAATAGTTGGAAAATTGGATGATGTTAAAGTTAGGTGACAAATCATGGACTTTGAAAAATTCAGGTGACATTTTTCTTAAATTTTTTATTCATGTGACAAATTGAAACTAAGGTATAAGTTCAGGTGACATTTTAATGAATATCCCTTTTTGTTAATTTCTTTGATTGTATAAGGGGAAATTTCGTCAACTCAAAACCCTTGAACATAAAAGCTCGTCTGAAACTCTCTCCATTTTATATTAGGGCTCAAAATTCAACCATCCCAATTTTTGAAAAATCCTAAACCTAAATGGCCAATTTCAAGTCATAATATGAAATGAGGGGAGTTTTAGACGAGCTTTTATGCTTAAAGGTTTTGGGTTGATGAAATTACCCTTTGCTCTGTACTAACTTGTTCTTTAATTGCTACAAATACAAAACTACAAAGTCAAAATTGAAGAAATTGAAACTACAAAGTTTAAAGTGATTGAAGTGTCAAACTATATGGATCACAAGTGACGTTTAATGTTTTATATTCTTATAAAAAAATAATGAATTTTTTAGATAATTATTTTGTTGAAGAAAACAAAAACAAAAACATCGGGAGCCAGCCTACGTTAACCGACGAGTTGTAGCCCTGAGATACATTGGCGTTATATAATGACGTTTTTTTTCAAAAAGAACCGAGGAAGCCAAGTAAGCATACACTGAAAGAACAGAGCTTTAACCTAATTACAGAAAAAACACAAAACATCCATTGAAACAAAGCTCCTGGGGACGTAGATGCTTCTGGGTGCAAACCCTGCAAACTCCCTCCAACAATAGACAAAACTCAGTACAGCCGGCTTTTTCCTTCTCTCACCCTGTTCCTTCCTCACCATGTACGGACGCCCTTCTAGCTCCTCCGGCGGCGCATGGGGTCAGCCGCCGCAGCAACCTCAAGGCACTAATTTCTATCTCCAAAACCCCATCAATTCGTCGTATATTTATCCTTCAAACACCCCCTTTATACCCCACAATGCCCACAACTCCTACCAAAATTTCCCTCCTAATAATTTCCCAATCCAAACCCCTAAGTTCCCTGGCCAAAACCCTGGATTTAATCCTCCTCCACAGCAGTTTTCAAACCCGGAAGGGTTTCGGCCTCCGAACTCGAGAGACATGCTCGAGAGAATCGACCGCGCCGTGGGGAAGGCTCGCGATGAACATGCCGCTGTTGGAGAGAACGTCTCGGCTTGGAAGGTCTCGCAGTCTGCGCTTCTGATGCTCAAGGTTGATTGCTGGAGCTCGCTGGGGTTTCAAATGCAGCAAGTGCCGACTTTGCACCGCCTCATGCTCACTGAAGGGAAGGTAATGGCGCCATCTCTGCCTTTTTTTACTCTCTTCTTTTTGCTTTTAAAAATCAAGTTTCGTAATGCTTTGTTTGGTTGCTAAGAAAGTGTGGGAAAAGAATTGTAATTGATATAAGAAGAGAACCTTCATTTATAATAAAATACACTTGGTTTAAAACACTTCGTTTTGGGAAAAAACATACTTGATTGTTTAACAAACGTTCTTTTTTATTATTTATATATATGAAAAGGGAATTAATGATGATTATAAGAGATGCGAGCTGATCTTATGACATCATTAACACTGCATATTATACACAAATGGTCCCCGTCTTCAGCTGTATGCTTACATGCATAGATATGTATAAGCAAGCGCAAGCATGGCATGAAGTAACTTCCCCCGCTGGGGTGGGGGGTTTTAAGAAGTTATATTTCTGATTTGGGCGAGAGCAACTAAGGGCTTGACCCTTTTGTAATGATTGTGCAAATCCAGGAGGTTATGTATCACCTATCATTAGTTGCCTAGGCTCTAGGGTCACTATACTTATCAGCTGTTGTCTCACTCATTTCAGTATAAGATTCCATTTTGTAAAGTAACAGAAACAAGCACAAGGAACATGCAATTATTTATTTTCTCTTCTTTTTTCAACCAAATGAAACATGAGATAAAATGTTGAAATTTATGTATTTTATCTTATGAGGTTTGTGTTTCTTTATTTATATTTACTTATTTTCTATTGGAATTTAGATAAATGCATTTATCCATTGTTTTGTTGGGGCTCGAAGAATTACTTCATTGTATGATTTGGAAGTAGCAATCTGCAAGAATGAGGGAATTGAGCAGTTTGAAGAGCTGGGATTGGGCCCTTTGTTGCGACATCCACTTGTTATGCATTATTTCTCAGTGAAGTCTGATACAACTGAAGTATTTAAGATAACAAGTGGGGAGATGATATCTCTACTTTCTGAGTTCATGGATACTTGTGAAAATAAAGATATTAGGGTTGAAGAATATTTAGATTTCATTGTTAAGAAGCGATCAGTTGCAAGCAAGGAAGCACTTGGAATACGAATTCACAGCCTGGGGTATGTCACATTTTTGCTTCTACTTTTTGGTTTAAAAAAAACTATTTTGTAGATAGCTCAATACTGAACTTAGAACTATATTGGCAAAGGAGACCTCTTTTTATAGTACTTAGTGTGCATAAATTTGATGTCATATTTACTTATTTATAAAGTTTTTCATGCAGTAAAAGTCATTCTAATGTCCATAAAGAGCATGTGGAAGTCAAAATTTCATACATTATGGATGTTGAGTTACAAGGATCATGCCTGTGCTCATGTTGAGTTACAGGGATCTTTAATGCATGCTTTTGCTGATGTACTTGCTTCTTTGAAAAACATTTGATGATGCAGAAGCTATTACATGCACAGTTTTGGGTCTTGTTGATTATTTCTCGGTCCTAATTTTAAATGCTCCCTGTTCACATCGTTCTTGATGAATGGCGCCCCCCCCCCCCCCCCCCCCCCCCTCTCTCTCCTCCTCCTCCTCCTCCTCCTCTTAAGTTTTCAATTAAGTTCAGTCCAACATGATATATAATTAAACAACCCAATCTCAAACATTATATACTGATTGTGTTCTGCTTCATTCCGAACCTTTATGAGCTAGGTGGTATGGTGTGGCTTGATTTCACCTCTGTGTGTGTGGGCATATCAATGTTAATTTATCACCAAGTAAATTTTGCAGTCATGACTTAAGTTTTCTAAGGGGTCAATCCAGTGTCATATCATGTGTTCAAGTCATCTCATTTGTCCTTTTTCAGTTATATAATGTAAATTTTAATGACATTGATTGGAGCAAACTTTATGATAACAGGATGCATATTTCAGCCATCCGGAAAGCCAGGAATCTAGAAATTTCCATTCTAAAGAAATCGGAGAATGCATTTCAGCCAAATTCAGATAAAAAGGATAGGAAGTTTCCACTTTTATCTGCAGAGAAAAAGGCGTTAGACAAACGTTTCAGCACTATTTCTCAGCGCGTTGAATCGTTTTCCCCCATACATAAGGATTTTTGTGGCAAGCACATTAGATTTGATCCTTCAAGCTCAGAGGATGAAGGTAGGGATGATTATTTATCTGAAGAGAATGATGAAAATAATGACCATTTAACAGGCAGTCAGGTTAACTTCTCATCACAGTCTGTTAAAAGTTCTGACCGAGTGAGTAGTTGTCCTTACCCGTCCGTAATAGAAGAGAGGAGAAGGCTTGGGTTGAGCCAGCTTTCTCCAGCTAGTGGCAGCCAAAAGCACAATGATAGTAGCGGGTCAGTTAAAAAGAAAAGAAAATCTGAAAACTTAAACAGTGCAATCTCCATGCCCCACAAACTGCGTAAGAGAGATAAGGTACAAGATGCCCTTCCAATGGAAAATGGCAGGGAAACCAATGAGGTTAGCAATTTGCATGAAAATAATCTTTCAATTGACAATAATGATTTGAGGATGTTCATTACAACCTGGAAGGAGGCATGTCTGGAGTACACTGTGGATGAGGTATGTTCATGCTCTTCTGATGCTATGTAAACAACTGATTATATGGACGAAACACCTCTCAGTAGTTGGTATCTATTTATGTAATGAATTTTAGTTTGCTACATATTTGCATTGTTCTTCAGAATATTTAATGAATTTCTACTGATTTTAATGTATAATGACTTTACCAAATTCTCTAAGTTTCAAATATTTGAAGAAATATTGTGATTTGGAATGCACCTCATTTTCTGACTTGAAGTCCTGATATTTTTTATGATTGATATTTATAGCGAATTGCATTATGGGGAAGGTTAGTGATATAAAGGAAATCTTTTTGGGGAAAGAATTGGAGGCACTTGCTGATGTTTCTCATGTCCAATGGGTGTTGACGAGATTAAGAAATACATGTAGAATAAGTCTTTCATTTAGATTATGTGTTACCTTGCTAAATTTTCTTGTATAGTTGCACCATGTTGTTTCATTATTTATTTCTTTGTGGTTTTATCCAAGCCTTAGTATGAGTGCTATAAATTATTCAGTATGATATGAAGTTGTAGCCAAGATGGGACTGACATGAGGTCGTTCTGGTACTATGGTGATAATGGCTGAAGAGGTTCATAATTTTATATATTGAAATGCAAGGCTTAGAATAGTCGATGTGGGATTTTATATTCTCAACAATTTGATTAATGTTTTAACAATTTTGCTGATGTTGTTTTCTCTTTATTTATTCTAAAAATATGGGGTTTCAGAAAATATCTTCCGATTCTTGTAGGTACTTGATAGGATGCTGCAGTTTAATAATACTAAAGCTCAGAAGAGAAAGAAAATCAAGTCAATGTTTTCTTTGTATCCATTAATTGGATTACTAAATGTTGCTGTAAGTTATTGTGGTATGCTGAATTATTATTATTTTTTGTTTTACATGTAGTATTTTATTTTTGTGCAGATTTTGTTTATCATTCCATTCCTGAAGAAATTAAAGTATGCAGATGCATATATGTTTATGTTATATTTGTGTGTTTTGGTGTTTTAACTCTCGTTATAGATGCACTGACTGGGTAATGTTGTTTGGCTATTGTCTTTGTTGTCCAATGGACTGCTCATCCTTGCTTGTTGTAGTTCCTTTGCTTTTTCTTGATAAAAAGTGTGTTTCTTATAATATAAATGTGTGTGTATTTATGTATGCAAAAAGCAAAAGTCAATCTTAATATATGCTTATGCTTTCAGTTTTGGTTTTCCTGTCATGGATTGAATACATTTAATTACCTTAAATCCTTTAAGGTAAGTTTCAGCTAAGCCTTTATATTTAAAAGAAAAGGTGCTACCTGAGACTAGAGAAAGGATACAAGAAAAGAACATAACGTAGTTAATAATGGTTTAAATAAATGCTTATAGATGTCATATTATAGGCCATGTATATCATGTTGAAATCATTTTTATGTTGTTTTTATCAACATTTCACCTCTATAATATGTACTGCTTGTCTGTAAACGTATGTCTCTTTGACAATTTTCAACAAAATTACTTAACCCTGGTACTCAACTTGTCTTCTGTTTGTTTGAATTCTCCACAATATTGCTAAGTTTAATATTTCATTGAACCAGGGCAATCCTTTATTGTGATGCAATAATAGCTGATCACTCGTACTGAAGTTGTTACTTCCATTGTTGCAGGTCTCATCTATCAAATGTGGAATGTGGGATAGCATGTATGACACATTCCAAACCATTGGTCAAAATGAATTAACTGACAGTATTACTGATAACTGTCCCGAATATGTGAACATAGATGTTGAACCAAGTACTAAAGATGAGCCAAGAATTAAGGATCCACCAGTCATCAATGAACATATTGTTGAGCACATTCAGAGTAAGTAATGTTGCTTTTGTATTTTTTTTTCTTAAAACAGAATTATGGCATGTTTACTTACCTGGATTGAGTATAGGAATAATTTTGATTCCTGAACTACCCAGCATTTACTAACATATGGTTATTAGCATTATTTTAATGCCCGACTTCTGATGCGTTTACTAACACCTACGGAATAAAAAATCATGTGGGTTCCAGACCCTCTTTTTTTTTTATATTTGCTCTAATGGAACTTATATGCCTTATGGGGCTTTGTAATTAAATTTCACAGGTGTTTCTGTTGAGGACATAATCAGGAAAGTTATCGTGTATTTTGAGAGTGATCAAGGAAAACATAACAATGGTCAATCACTTCCAGAGAAGATGTTTATCTTCTTGAGGAAGCTATGCAATTGCGAGGTTTGGTTGGTGAAAGAATTTTGTGTAAAGGAATTTAAATCCCTCGGTTATGGGGAGTTTTTGATGTTCTTAGAAAAATATGCTGGTCTACTGCCACATGAGCTGTGCAAGTTCCTGACTGGTGACTTGAGTGGAAAGTGTCCTTTTGAGGTTTGCATGCTCCAGCACCATTTGGTTGTTTTAGTATCTCAAGCTTTAAATAGTTTATGGGAAGATGAAAAAGTTACCAAACAAAATATATTGTTGCTGCTTAGGAAGCAGTTCCCTTTGGTTTGTTTCAAAACTATCGAAAATGGTTCAGTGGAAGATTTCTTAAGCATAGTGGGAAAACATAAAAATGCTGCGAGTTCGAAATGTGTTCTATTTTCAATGGCACTGTGTGGAACGAGTTATGCTATGGAGTCATCATTACACATTGAGAATGTCCTATGGAAAAGAACTTCGGTCAATACTGACAGTGGCCAGAAAGCAAAGTCCCATGAATCTGTTACATCCAAGGATGCAATTGAAGTTTTACTTACAGTACCAGTGATGTCAGATTTAAATTTATGGTCGCATTGGGACCTATTGTTTGCTCCCTCTCTTGGCCCTCTTGTACCATGGCTATTGAATGAAGTCAACACAGATGAACTGTTGTGTTTGGTGACAAAAGGTGGAAAAGTGATTCGGTTAGATCATTCAGCTACCGTGGATTCATTCTTGGAATCTGCACTTCAAGGATCCTCTTTTCAAACAGCAGTGAAAATGTTATCTCTGTTTTCACTAGTTGGGGGAGAAAAACATGTCCCTGTGTCGCTTTTGAAAATTCATATAAAACATGCATTTGAAGTAATTCAGAAGAATTATCTAGACGATATAGAACTACAAGACAATAAGAATTCCATTGATTATGGAAAAGCACTATCTGGACAAAAAATGGTGGGTGAAGTTGCTACTGGTAAATTCTGTAGTAAATTACACAAGGACTTGAGCAAGATGAATATTGCAACAACTGTTATATCAAGATTTTTCCTTGAATGTCTTGGGTATCTACCTGCAGAATTTCGTTATTTTGCTGCTGATGTATTGCTTTCTGGGATGCAGTCTGTTGTTAAACATGCTGCTTCAGCTGTTCTGAATGAATGCAGCCAGTCAGAGCAGCGTCTGATGCTTCATGAAGTTGGGTTGTCTCTTGGTGTAGTGGAGTGGATTAATGATTACTATGCATTTTGTTCCAGTGATGCTACTGGCTTGTTCATATCAGGGGCTTCATGTTTTAATGCTATTAGGTATGAAACAGGGTCTGGCTCAAAGAATATGCAAGATGTGTCAGATAAGTTTTCCGTTAGGGCAGATGAGCAGAAAGGCGGATGTACTGATATTTGTTTGAAGATTGGTGGGGCAGAAGCCTCTGATGCTAGTATTGGCAGTGGTTACACGCAACATCCTACTGAGCTTAATGAACATGAAGATGCAGCCCAGGTAATTGAGTCAATCAGGAGAGATGAATTTGGTCTTGATTCGGGCCTATCAAGTGTTGAAAGTATCATGTTAAAGAAGCAGCATGCTCGCTTAGGGAGAGCTCTTCATTGTCTTTCACAGGAATTGTATTCACAGGATTCACATTTTCTTCTTGAGCTGGTAAGGGTGCTCTCTTTTGTGTCTTTCATTGTGCTTAGTGCAGTCATCTCCTCAAGGCCTTTTATTTTCCTTGTTGCTAAATTGTACCAATAGTCCCTGAAATATTCCCCAATTCACATGTTGATAGAGAGAGAACCATATATAGGTGTAGCCCCACACTACACCCAACAAACTAAGAAATAAATGGGGAATGAGGATTGGATGTTTTGAACCTAGGACCTCTTACGAATAAATGCAAGGATTTGAGTTCTCAATGTGGGATATACTCTCATCTATATATATATTAATGAAGAGTTGAAAATTTTATTTCACAAGAGAAGCTGTACAGTAAAGTTATTGTATTTGTCCTTCCAACAATATATTGCCAATTATTATAATTTCAATTTGGATTTGGATGATCTTTATACGTTTGATGCTATAATTGAGTTTGAAGTTGAAAACAAGCCTTTGATAAGTATGTGATGTTTTATTTCAATTTTATACATCCGTCTTTGTGTATATTTATTCTTCTTTATTGCCCCAGGTTCAAAATGCTGATGATAATACCTACCCAACAAATGTAGAACCTACTCTAACATTCATTCTTCAAGAGTCAGGTATTATTGTTTTAAATAATGAGCGAGGCTTCTCTTCCCGGAACATTAGAGCACTTTGTGATGTTGGAAGTTCAACCAAGAAAGGATCTAATGCTGGATATATAGGGCAGAAGGGCATTGGTTTCAAATCAGTTTTTCGGGTAGGTCGCGAAAACACTGCAGTTATCACTCTCTCTGTCTCTCCTCTTCTCCCTCCATCTTGTCAAACCGTATTTATTATTTCTTGATTGTTTGCTGCATTAAGTGAATTACCTTGTACAGTCATACTATCATTCAAAATCAGGCCTTGTTACACGGGTCTTTGGTTTAAAGGTTTCGTTGCTGCTGTGAATTGTTTGTTGTAGCTGGAATGAAACCTCATCTTTATTTTGCTGTCCAAGGATTCATTCCCTCCATTGATAACATGCTTTCATTAATATGTTCACATTGTTCTGCAGGTCACAGATGCTCCAGAAATTCATTCCAATGGGTTTCACATCAAGTTTGATATAAGTGAGGGTCAGATTGGTTTTGTTTTGCCAACAGTTGTACCTCCCTGCGATGTTGACTTGTTTAGTAGGCTTACTTCTAGTGACCATGATCAATCAGATAATAACTGCTGGAACACTTGCGTTGTTCTTCCTTTCAGATCAAAAATATCAGATGGAACTGTCATGAAAAGCATTATAAATATGTTTTCAGATCTTCATCCATCTTTATTACTCTTTCTGCACCGCCTCCAGTGTATCAAGTTTAGAAACTTGCTTGATGATTCACTTACTGTCATGAGAAAAGAAATTTTGGGAGATGGTATTGTTAAAGTTTCACATGGGAAAGAGAAAATGACATGGTTTGTAGTATCTCAGAACTTGCAAGCAGATTTTATTCGCAGTGATGTACAAACAACAGAAATTTCAATAGCATTTACATTGAAGGAATCAGACAACGGTGATTATGATCCAGATCTTGTCCAGCAGCCTGTTTTTGCATTTCTTCCTCTTAGAACATATGGACTGAAATTTATTCTTCAGGGTGATTTTGTCCTTCCTTCATCTAGAGAGGAAGTGGATGGAGATAGTCCCTGGAACCAGTGGCTGTTGTCAGAATTTCCTGGTTTATTTGTCAATGCAGAGAGATCTTTTTGTGCTCTTCCGTGCTTTAAAGAGAATCCCGGGAGAGCTGTGACAGCTTATATGTCCTTTGTTCCCCTTGTAGGTGAAGTGCATGGTTTCTTTTCTTCTCTTCCACGGTTGATTGTTTCTAGATTACGTATGACAAATTGCTTACTTCTGGAAGGAGGAAATAATGAATGGGTTCCTCCTTGCAAGGTCCTAAGAGGTTGGAATGAACATGCTCATTCGCTTCTTCCTGACAGTTTACTACGAGAGCATCTTGATCTTGGATTCTTGGATAGAAATATAGTTCTGCCAGATCCACTTTCAAATTCATTAGGTATTGTGGAGTATGGACCCAAAGTTCTGCTTCAAGTTATGGTATCTTTATGTCATACACAAAATGGTCTCAAATCAATGGGGTTGGGTTGGCTGGCCTCTTGGCTAAGTGAACTTTATGCCATGTCATTCAATTCTTCTGTGGAATCTTCTTTTGATCCGAGAATACAAATGGAGCTTATAGAAAACCTTCGAAAAATTCCTTTCATTCCTCTTTCAGATGGTACATATGGTGCAGTAGACGAAGGCCCAATTTGGTTACATTTTGATGCCTTAAGCAATGGCCTTGAGCCCTCATTTCTATAGTGTCTGCAGATATGTCATCCATGGATGTGACAGTTGACAAACTCACATGTATGCTCTGTAGAATTGGTGTCCAGAGGTTGTCTGCACACGAAATTGTCAAGGTACACATCTTGCCAGCTATAACTGATGACAGAATTACAGATTGGGATAAGAATTTGGTGATTGAATATCTCTGCTTTGTAATGTTCCATATACAGTCGAGCTGCTCTGATTGCAATGTTGAAAGGGAATACATAATCTCAGAAATACGAGATAAAGCTTACATATCAACAAATTATGGCTTTAAGCGGCCTTCTGAGGTATCAATTCATTTCAGTAAAGAATTTGGAAATCCTGTGGACATAAAGAAGTTGATTAATATGGTGGATATAAAGTGGCATGAGGTTGACATCTCCTATTTGGGACATCCAGTCACAAAACCACTCCCATGTGAACTGAAGAAGTGGAGGGAATTTTTCCAGCAAATTGGGATAATGGATTTTGTCAAAGTAGTGCAAGTTGAGAAGGGAATTGCTGATATTTCTGATGTACTAGTTAAGAATGTGATTTGGGATAAGGACTTAATTTCCCTTCAATCAAATGTCACAGATTGGGAGTCCCCTGAATTGGTCAACTTATTATCTCTATTGGCCAGAGATGGAAACAAAAAAGGTTGTGAATATCTCTTAGAGATTCTTGATACTTTATGGGATGATTGCTATGGTGAAAAAACTACATGTTATTGTGCTTCTAAATCTGAAGCAGACAGAAGGCCCTTCAAATCTTCATTTATAAGTAGCATCTGTGATGTGGAATGGGTGGTATCAACGATGGATGATGTACTGCACTATCCTAAAGATTTATATCACGATTGTGATGCAGTGCGCTTGATTCTGGGGGCATCTGCTCCATTTGCTATCCCAAAGGTTAGTTTGATGTTACTACATATGAAATTAGCTTCCCTTTTTTCTTTTATTACTGAATTTATTATTTAGCCAATATTTCCTTTATCAGATTGAGACTTTATCTACTAGAATGCAAATGTGAATTTGAACCAAATGCAGTCAGTAAGGCTATTGTGTTTTTCCCCCTCCCTTTCGTAATAGATCTAAGGTTCTGTATTCATCCCTAAAAGTTATGTGCAAAGAAATTCATCGTTGTTGAGATCGCAAAAGATCCTTCATAGTATCCACAACGCCCAGATAATTGTTAACCAGCAAAAGAAATTCATTGCCTGACCCACGCCACTCCTCCCAAGTGAACAACCTCGTGCAAATTTGTAATATCAAAGAATAAGGAAAAAAGGAATTTGATAAGGACACTCACTGTCACCTTTGCACAGAGCTTATATAAGCTCTTTAACCTCAACACAACACCACCATCTTCGTCATCAAAGCCAAGTGCCAAGTGAAGCACAATTGTTTGGTATTTTACCACCAAACAATTATTGCATATTTGATGCTAATGTGTTGAACAAACTCCAAGTCTCATAGAACACAAGAGGCATATGCACCCATAGCTTATTTATTCCAAAACTTAGGTTATGGCACCATCCGTGGGAAGCAGTTGCTATGGCCAAGGTTTGGAGTCCATGGTGGTTATTTGGTTCTTCATGTGTTCTAATGTCTGTCATCTTATGGCTAATATTGAGAGTATGGCTCATATTGGATCGTACTAGCAAAAGGCTGTCTTTCACTAGTAGAAGTTTTGTGATATTGTGTGATAATTTGATTTCTGACTGTTCTTCCTCTTTCTTCTTCCTATTCTTACATCTTTCTTTTTCTCTCTTAACTTTTCTGCGTGCACTTTGTTGAATTTAAAGTCAGGTCAGTCAGGTCTAGAATGGTACCAAAAAAAAAAAAAAAATGTCAGGTCTAAATTCCAATGCTTTGTAGCAATCCCTACCATTTCTCCATCATGAAATGAGTGCTGCACCTCAAAATTATTTTGCAGCTCTTGCCTTTAAAAGGCCAACTGTTTGATTGTTTCTATGTTATATGAGACAAATATACTTTAGATATGGTAATTACAATTTCAGCTGTTTAAAATCTTAAATCTTCTTTAAAGCTTCTGCTTAATCTGTTGTGCTACAAATTTTTATTTTCTGAAGCAGGTTAGAAGTGAGAAGTTTGTACTTGATATTGGGTTTAAGACAACAGTTTCCCTTGACGATGTTCTGGAGGTCTTGAAGCTATGGAGACGTGAGAACCCATTCAGTGCCAGGTATGTGTATGATTATGATTTTTCCCTCATAATGTTTGACCTCATTTATTTGGGAGTGATATCATTAGTTTCTGTTTGTACATTGGATATCTTTTGCTAATTATTGTGGTCCAGCAATATTATGAATACTAATAGACAAGAAATAAAGTTCTTGAACCAAAAGCAGTGGTTCTATAATACCATTTGCCTTTTCGGGCATTAGATCCACGTGATTGGAAGGTACTTTTAAGCAATGTTCTCATCAGGGGAAAAATATAAGCCTTAATGTAAAATAAGAACCCTTGCAAAGATTTCTAAGAACTATTGGTCATGGTGACGGTTAGAGTGCTTATCAAATTCCTTTGTTCCTTATTCTTTGATGTCACAAATTTGCGCCAGGTTGTTCACTTGGTTGAAGTGGTGTAGGTTCGGCCATGCATTTCTTTTGCTGGTTAAGGATTATTTGGGTGTTACGGATACTATCAAGGATCTTTCGCAATCTGTATGTAGTCTAGGTTTCACTTGGGTTTGTTTGGATAGAAGGAAATAACAGAACCATTGATGATAACGTGGAGGACGTGATTATCTATGAGAAGTAATTAGGGTCTTAGCATCTTTATGGTCGTCACTGTCCAAGCATCTTCATATACTTCTCTCTTTTACCCAAAAAAAAAAAAAAATTTATTTCCCGTAAAATTCCCAAAAGTGCTATCTGCATATTTGGTGCTTAAGGTGCATTATTATCTTTTCTTAGACTCAAATAAGCTAAGGTTACTTGGTGAATGTAAGATCAAATTCTTTATGAAGCCATGTCAATGGCTAATATTTCAGATGTTCTGCGTGATCTCTTGGTCAATTTTTTCTATCTTAACCAAGGTTGCATTAATACTGCCACTTGTTTTATGATGTCTTTACTAAGATGCTTTTCATAAGGTTTCCTCTCGAAAGCGCCTTTTATCCTATACATTTGTATCTTAAATTATTGAAAATTATCCTACTTCCTTTCAAATCATTCTGTCCAAATTCACTTGTAACTTTTTGAGATTGAAAAAGGTCGCCTGCAACCAAAACTATTATTATTTTCCATCGTTCACAGAATTTTTTAATTATTAGAAGTGTATCTTCTTATACTTTGGGTTTGCATTATCTGTTACACCATATGAAATGCTTATGCACATTTATTCTTCTATTTGTTTAATTTTGCATGATGCCACACATTTTAAATGCTAGTCTTTTTTTTTCCTTTCTTGCAGCCTAGCACAAATGTTCAAATTTTACACATTAATCTGGAATGAAATGGCTGCTTCAAAGGAGAAAATTGCAGAGGCTTTCCATTCAGGACCTTCTATATTCGTTCCACACGCATCTAGCTTCAGGCACGAGGATGTGGTATCTGGTACATTGTTGTCCCCTGAAGAAGTGTACTGGCATGACTCCACTTCCTTTGTAGACCAAATCAGGGAGATTCATCGTCAGTGCAGCTCAACAGGTGTTACTCATGGCCCCTTGAATAAGACGCTTTGCAATTTCTACCCAGGCCTTCATGACTTCTTTGTTGACGGCTGTGGAGTACATGAAACCCCTCCTCTCCGGAGCTACCTTCAGATATTGCTGCATTTATCAAATGTTGCTTTGCCTTCACAAGCAGCTAATGCAGTAAGTAATCAAGTTTAGATTAATATTACAATTAGCACAAGCTGCTCGCGGACCTAATTGTTTGGTGTTCCTTGTCTCAGGTTTTTCAAGTTTTCCTGAAGTGGACTGATGGACTAAAATCAGGATTGAGTGCTGAAGATGTTGTTTACTTGAAAGATTCACTTACAAAGATTGAGTGTACGGTGCTTCCTACTGTACAGGATAAGTGGGTTTCTGTACATCCTTCCTTTGGTCTTGTGTGCTGGTGTGATAATAAGAAATTAAGCAAGCAGTTTAAGCACTTGGACTGCATTGATTTTCTGTACTTCGGTGAACTGAGCAAGGATGATGAAGAGATGCTATGTACAAAAGTGTCCATCCTCATGCACGCTTTAGGGATTCCTGCTCTTTCAGAGGTAAGATATCTCTTTATGTGCGCACGCACACACATGTGGGTAATGCAAGTAATCTTTAAATTTTCTATGCATTATTATGAGAAATGACATTGAGCAATGCATTATATTACAAAATTCAGGATACGTATGTTGTCCATCAAGGTGAACCAACCTCTACACCTGGATTCCTCTTACTTGCTCATTTATATGCAGGTTGTAACTCGTGAGGCAATATATTACGGTATGGAAGACTCTAGCTTTAAAGCTGCATTGCTGGATTGGGCTCTTCCATATGCACAGCGCTACTTACATGGTGTACACCCAGATAAATATTCTCAACTCAAGCAGTCTGAATTTGATATCCTGAATCGCCTGCAAGTAGTAGTTGTTGAAAAGCTGTTCTACCGGAATGTTATAAAGAGTACTGGAAATGAATCCAAGAAGCGAGTTAAATGTAGTTCTCTTCTGACGGTATGTTGCTTCATCCTTCATTGAATGTGCATTCCTGATCATGTGTATTTTAAAATGGTTTTACTTCAAACTGATTTCGAAGATCGCTGGAACCACAGTGTATTTGCTTTCTGCTAGAATACTAAGAATTAGTATTTGAAGCATATCATGCTGGTTACGTGGTATGCATCGCCATACTTTGCTCTGGTAAAGAATAAAGCAAATAATATGTTTTCCAGGAGAGTTTCTCTTTTATTCAAATTCTGTTATCAAATTTCTAACGGTTTCATGATTCTGGAAGATATTTCCCCAATTATGTACAGTACTTGGTGTGATGAAGACATGCAAATTTTATCTCTCTTTAATACCCTTATTCCTTTTATCTTATAAATGCAGGGTAGCATTTTGTATACAACACAAGAGTCAGATTCTCACGCATTATTTATGGAGCTTTCTCGTTTGTTTTTTAATGGAAATCCTGAACTACACTTGGCAAATTTCCTTCATATGATCACAACCATGGCAGAGTCAGGTTCAACTGAGGAGCAGACAGAGTTTTTCATCTTAAATAGCCAAAACGTGCCAAAGCTTCCTGATGGAGAATCTGTTTGGTGCCTTTCTTCTGTGCATTCATTGATAGAAAGTGATAAATCACTTGAAACAAGTTTCAATTCACCAGAAGTAGATGAGCAAAGCAGCTGGAAATCCAAAAGTAAAGCACGGAACTGGCCTCCTGTTGATTGGAAAATTGCACCAGGGTTTGGGTATGCGCGTGCCAATGGTTTTAAGACACAGGCAGTTTCACAGCCTTGCACCGCCTTACAAAATAAAGGGGGGGATGATTCTGAAGGCATCAGCAGGCAAACAGATGATTTAACACCTATTTCAGTTGACACTAATTGGACCATTGAAGGTTGTTTGGCAACATCTGCGGCTTTTGTTTTGCCAGACTCCAATCATCTGCAAGAACATTGTGGTGAGGCTGGCAATGAGGCCGACTTTCCAATGCATATGGAGTGTAATCCTATTAGTTTTGATCTTGTGTCTGACCCATCTGACTTTGGCTCATCTAATTTTAGCAAGAGAGATCAGCTTAGATTTGGTACGCCCAATTCAACACAAGCAAATTTAACTGGGAGGCTAGGTGAGCTTGTTGCTTTTAAATACTTTGTTCAGAAAGCTGGCAAATCAGTTGTGAAGTGGGTCAATGAGCATCACGAAACTGGGCTACCGTATGACATAGTTATAGGGGACAAGGAAAACAGTAAAGAGTTCATTGAAGTTAAAGCAACCAAGTCAGCAAGAAAAGACTGGTTCGAAATATCAATGAGAGAGTTGCAATTTGCAGTTGAGAAAGCTGAAGCTTTCAGCATTGCGCATGTCATTCTATTGGGTAATAACGTTGCAAGAGTCTCAGTATACAACAATCTGGCAAAATTGTGCCAGCTTCATAAACTGCGGTTGGCTGTCTTGTTGCCTGAGCAGCAGAGGGAATTTTCCATCGTGTCCCAATCGTAAAAAGCACTTCATGGTGGTCTAAACCTGTTTGAAATCGACTCGGCAAAAATATTATAGCTAAATGCAGCTATGCATTTTGGGAACTATGCTCAACCAGATTTTACACATCAAACTGGTAGGCCAGTCCGGTTAATTTGCAGACGAGTTCTGCTTTTCTGGATGAAACTTAGTGTGCTGGAATTGGACACGATGGAGCTGAGAACGGCATTCTAAGAAACTCCTCGTTCAAATTTTAATATCTATGTGGTGTAGTGACTGTCAGCCAGGATTTGTCATATTTAATCGAAGAATGGGAGTCGCCTCTGTGGTTGTATGTGCAGTGGAAAAAAAATGTCTCATGCAACAATGTGGGATCTGGGTCAACTTTTCAATCAAATGAAATTGTATATTTACAAAACTTACCATCTTTCTCTTGTGTAGAAAAGATGACAGCTTCGACCAAAAAAAAAAAGAAGAATAGATAACAGCTATTTTTTAGGTACCGTCAAAGATGTACAGTTTATTTACCATAATGATATAAGAAAGTTTAGAGCTTGGTGGTTGACCGCCCTGTTGTTATTTTGACTGCCAGGCGCTGGTTCCTTCAACTGGCTATCTCTTAATGAATATTTTTATTATTTTTATTGACATTTGTCAACATATTGATGGTAGTTCTAACGTAGTCGTGTACATAGTTGGCCTGAGCACGGAGGATGTTGGAGGTTGGGTCTAGATGATTGTTGGTTATGGTGGGTATGAGGGGATGCTGTAGGGAGAATAGAGGAAGAGGACATCGAGGCTGGGTATGTCACATGGCAATTTCTTATTGGATCTTAAGGTAGATTCTCTGCGAGAATAAACGTGAAAAGATGTTTTTTTTAACCCTTCACCTGAGCCGGTGACATTTTAACGGAGTTTGAACGGAAATCTCAATTCTAACGTAAATTGTTAACAAGTTCACTGTATGAATTCATAGGTCTTCTTTTTTTAATCAGTCCCCATTCATCAAAATTTTATTTTCTTACACCTCTGACCACATGGATGGCAGGTAACTGACATTCTCTCTCTCTCTCTCTCTTTAACGCCATGTTCGGGCACCCTCATCACTTCCGATCCCCATCTGGCGGGCCACGGCAGCAACCGCCTCCACTTCAGCATCCATACTCACAGCCTCTAAACCCCAATTTCTCCCTCCAAAACCAAAACCAAAACCCGACCAATTCATCATATATTTTGCCTCCAAACCCTGCTTTTCCATCCCATCCTGTCCTCAACCCCTACCCAGCTTTCCCAACCCAAAACTCTAATTTCACTCTCCAACAGCTCCCTTCGTTTCGGCCTCAGACCTTACCTGAGAACCCGAGACCGAATGTCGATCCCCAACAGCTCTCGAATTCAGCTTTTCCGCCGCAGAGCTTGTCTGATAACCCGAATGTCGATCCTCTCCAGCACCCCTCGAATTCAGCGTTTTGGCCAAAGGAGATGCTGGAGAGGATCGACGGCGCCGCGGAAAAGGCTCGCGCTGAACTCGTCGCGGCTGGAAGGAGCGTCTCTGCGTGGAAGGTCTTGGAGTCTGCGCTTCTGATGCTCAAGGTTGATGCTTGGAGCTCTCTGATGCTTCCAATGTACCAAGTGCCGTCTCTTCACCGCCTAATGCTCACTGAAGGCAGGGTAATGACTAATGACTAATGAGATAGCAATAATCTACCCCGTTTCTTTTTTATTTTTTCAAATTAATTTGTGTCAATACTTTGTTTGGTTGCTGAGAAATTGTGGGAACAGAGTGTAATTGATAGAGAAGATAAAAGCCCTTTAATTTCCAATTGAAAAAGATTTGGTCTGCGCGAGGAATACATTGAAAACGAATTCTGTTAAGGAAACATACTTTCCTGTTGATTAATAACAGAGTGAGAACTTTAGTTTGAGGGAAAAAAAGGATAGTAATGATAATTGGAGATGTCAACTGACCTAGGGGCATCAGTGGCTCTTTTGGAACAGTTGTTTGCTTTCTGGGCTTGTCGGGCTTTATATCTTATGATATGACTCTTCAAACCCAGGAAGTTTGCTGTCTGTATTCACCTATCCTTAGTGGTCTAGGTCCACTCTATTTATTAGCCTGCATAGCACATCTGAGTCTGAGATTTCATTTGTAAAATAATAAAAGCAAATACTGGGAACATGCACTACTTTTCTGTTGGTTTCTCAGCAACCGAATGAAGAGTAAGATTTTGTATATAAAATGTGCATCTTTATGTATTAAATCCTACCAATTTTTGCTCATTTTCTATTGGTATTCAGATAAATGCATATATCCATTGCTTTGTTGGGGTTCGAAAAATTACTTCATTGTATGATTTGGAACTAGCAATCTGCAAGAATGAGAATATTCAGCAGTTTGAAGAGCTGGGATTAGGCCCTTTGTTGCTGCACCCACTTGTTTTGCATTATTTCCAAGTGAGTTCTGATACAACTGAAGTGTTTAAGATAACTAGTGAGGAAATAGTATTTTTACTCATTGGATTTCAAACACATAAACGTGAAGTTACGGACGATTCTGTTGAAGAGTTTTTGGATTTTATTGTTAAGAGGCGATCAGTTGCAAGCAAGGAAAAGCTCGGAATTCGAATTTGTAGCTTGGGGTATGTCTCACATTTTTCGCTTCTACTTTGTGATAAATATTCATTGTCTAATAATATTAACGATTTTGTATGGTGAAAGATGTACAATCCCTTCCTTCTACAAAAATTATCAAAATGTTGGTGCTTTGAATGGTTAAAATTACATTTGGCATGGACTTTTGATTTGTTTTTTAAATAATTAATGCACATTTTGGATAACATAAGTTTTCAGTCCTTTGAAAGTACTAGAAATTATAATTTATAATGCTCCTGATTGAAGTAAACTTTATGATCATAGGGTGCATGTTTCTTACATCCTTGAAGCCAAGAAGTTAGAACGTGCTGCTCTAAGGAAATCCAAAATGGAATTAAGAGCGTGGCGCTCTAGGAAGAAGCCACCAATTTTCTCCACATTGAAAAAGCGGCTAGATAAACATATTTGTGCCATTTCTCAGCAAGCTGAATTGTTTTCTGTTGTGCACAAGGATTTTTGTGTTAAGCAAGATAGATTTGTTCCTTCGAGCTCAAAGCATGGAGGTAATAGGGATTATTCACATGAAGAAGATGACAAAAATAATGATGATGCTACAGGCAGTCTGGTTAACTTTGCATCACAATCTGCTAAAATCTCTGAAAGAGCGAGTAGCTGTACTAACTTGTCAGCATTAGAAGAGAGGTATTGGCTCGAATCGACCCACATTTCTCCAGTTAGTGGAAGCCAAAAGCATAATGAGGGTAATGGATCTGTTAAAAAAAAATATATATACGAAAATCTAAGCAGCCCCATCTCTGTGCCCATAAAATTGCGTAAGAGTGACAAGGTGGATCAAGATATTCTTCCTACGAAGAATGGCTGTGGAACAGAGGAGTTTAGTGATGTGCATATAATTGATCTTTCAATTACCGATACTCTTTTGAGGATGTTCGTTACAACTTGGAAGGAAGCATGTCAGGAGCAGCCTGTGGCTAAGGTATGTTCATGCTGTTATGATATACGAATAATTGATTATCAAGATATATTTTACTGCCTGGATCAAACACTCGTCCATGGATTTCTGTCTATTTGTCTGATGAATTTGAGTTGTTTACATATTTTCATTCCTTTTCAGAAGTTTTAATGAAGTTTCCATTGATTGAACTTCATATAGATTTACCATTTTTTCTGATTGAAGGAACGCCATGCTAGGGAGTTTTCCTCATTAATGTAGCCAGAAATTCTCACATATATGTATATAATGATTTACATACATATATATATATATGTATATATATAGTGAAATGTAATTGATCTAAGTTTTTTTTTTCGTGTGAAAGAATTCTTTCTGTGGAAGAATTGTTGGTACTTGATGCTCTTTCTCATATCCTATGCATGTGCATTTAAAGAAATGAGAAACACATTTCAAATAAATCTTTTTTTTAATCCTTAGCTTGTTAAATTGTCTCATACTAAGAAAGTTGAGCTTGTTGGCTTATCAATTATCTCTTCTGGTCTTAACTTAGTCTTAGAGCATTCTCCTTATTGTGTTCTATCATCGGGTGTGAGTATGGAGTACATTCTGGGATTCTCAGGTTGTGAAGAGGTTCTTTTTAAGGGGTATCCTTTTTTCCTTATTTTTGTCTGAACTGGTGGTTGGGTAAAAATTCATTTTTGGGAAGGCAGTTGGTAGGGTGACTCGTATTTCCAGTTTTTATTTTTATTTTTTATGGGTTTAGGGTGACTTTGTAGAGCTTAGCGTTTAGAAGGAACCTAAATATAGATGATAGGAATTCATCGAGTTTTTCTCTATCATCTAGTTTTAACATCTTGTCGAATCCACTCTGGTCCTAAAAAAATTGGAGTACTCTGGGGTCAGGGGTCTTTTCCTGTAAATACTTTGTATCTATGGTCGGAGAAACTTGGTGTTCTTGCCTTTTTTTTATAATTGTAGTAGAGTGATTGTGAAAGTGGTACCAGATTCTTGCACATAAGGAAATCAAATACTTGTGATATGCTACCCCAAAATACAAAGAACTATATACTTATCTCCCAGTTTGGAGTAGGTTTCAGAATGTGTTTGGCCAAGAAACTGTTATTCTCTGCTGGTCGAAGATTTTCTGGGTATTGGTGTGAATATGAAGACTACTACTTGGCATTGTGCAGTTGGGTTGTTTGGGTGGAGAGGAATCTTTGATGACAATTATTGCATATTAGATTAACCTCTCTTTGAGCATCTTTGTCTAAGAAATTTGGGGATATTCCGTTTGGTGTATTTGTCTTAATTGGGGTGAGTTTTTAGTCGTGCAACCTTATCTTCTTTAAATACAGGAGTAGCTTTTGCATGAACTTCTTATCCATCTTTCATTTTTTTCTCTTCTGTGGTAATTTCCGTTTCCTTAAAAACAAGAAGCCTTTATCCTAAGAGCATTAGTGCTAAGATGTTCACTTATGGTTTGGATTTGCTTAACTGTAGTGATTCTCTAGTTCATTTTAAGTAATGCTTCAGTTTCAATTTCTGCCAATATAGGTTCTCAGCAAATGTCTTCTGTTGCTTGTAGGTACTTTGGAGCATGCTTCGGTCTTATAATACACATTATAAGAAGTCAAAAACAATCATGTCAATGTTTTATTCATACCCATTGATTGGACTGCTGAATGTTGCTGTAAGTTATTGTGGTAGATGCAATGTTATTTATTTTTTATGATATTACTGGCAATATTTAATGGTTAATCTTAAAAGTCTAGTTCATAAACTTTTTCTTATCCAAAAGTCACATAATCATTACTGCTGTCTTGTAGAATTATTCGAAACAGGTAAAGTTATAAAAAAAAATTGGATTGATGATTTTGTGTACATGAAAGTCTTTATGGAGGGCTGAGATTTTTAAATAAACTAATATGTGAAAGATGTGTATCGTTCGCTTTCCAAACAGTCTGGATTCCTTGGGTAAACTGCCAAAATGCCCCCTGAACTTGTACCTAATTATCAATTTACCCTCTGACCTTTTTTTTATTTATAGAAAATTAA